ACTCGCCTGAAAATGTGCTTGTACAAGCGTGGGCAATCGAGGAACACACGAGGATATTCTTCTAGATTTCGGACTTTAAGTAATGCAACATTTAAGATACAAAAAAATCGGTTTGCATTAAACACATGCTTGCATTAGTTGAAACATGTATGCTTGGGCGTGTGAATATATATATATATATATATATATATATATATATATATATATATATATATATATATATATATATATATATATATATATATATGTGTGTGTGTGTGTGTGTGTGTGTGTGTGTGTGTGTGTGTGTGTGTGTGTGTGTGTGTGTGTGTGTATGTATATTTATTTATTTATATGTATATGTGTATATGCATATATGTATATATGTGTGAGTGTGCACACACATATTAACATAAATATGCATATATGTGTGAATGTGTAGAACGTGAATTTATTATTATTTTTCGTATTATGAGATATATTATTAAATAGACAACAACTGCTGGCATTACTATCCCATTTTCATATTGAACTTACAAGCCTTTGCAGTTTATAGAAAATCTTGTGACAGTGTAAAAGTTAAATCATTTCTTATTTCAGTTTTGTGCGGTACAGTTGAAGAACGTTCAAAAGTTTTATTGTCATTATATGGACAATTATTGACAATTCATTTGAATGATCATTTTTTGTAGTTATTAGGCAGTCTCTTTGTAGAGTCTGCTGTAGATGTCATGAAAAATATCTTCGATTAGGACGTTGCTTTGCTTTCAGCTTTTGCATGACAAATGTCTGTGTATTTTTTCAATTGTCCTTTATGCTGAATTATGTTATCATCTATCATTAAGCATGACTAATGAAGTTCACAGTTAAGGTGTTCCATACCTCAGAAGTAGCTAAAGAGATAAGGAAAGTCTGTAGTTACATTTGATATAAGACTTTATTGGAAACACACGCATACACACACAATTTGCATAATAACATATACTTATATGAAAATATTGTTTTTAATATTTATAATGAAGTAAACTCTAAGCTCTGTAGACACATTCGGCCGTATGAGCAACTTCATTGAATAAGGCGAAGTCGACTCCGTTCTTGCGGAAGACGGAGGCGCACTTGTCGTTCGCTGGACCGGAAGTTCTGTGGGGTGCGGGAGAAGACGAAGCCGAAACTCGGACTTGTAGCCGTTCCAGTCGATGCAGGAATACACGCACGAGTAGCTGTCGTAGTCAGTCTCGACCACTTCATAGGGAGCGGCGAAAACTGTCGATGAAAAGAAAAATCGTTAGGTGGAGTTAGCTTACACATATTAGTAATATAGCATTGGATTCCACAAAACAAACATTAACATAACCCGCAAGGATAAGTGTTAACACGTACCGGTAGGGAAATCGATGAGCAGTGGGAAGCAGGGAAAGTTCCTTTTGTGGGTAGATCTTGCCTGAGGTCTGAGGTACTCGTTGTTGGGGCTGAATCCAGCTGTTGGTCACCTTTGAAGCCGTAGTCAGAGTCAGAGTAGTAAGTCCGTAGTGTGGAATGGATGCAGCGAGTGTATATGGCTGATCGATCGATTGGCGATGATTCTAGGGTCTGATACCAGCTGGGCCAGGTACTGTTGGGGGAAGAATAAAAGAAACAAGGTTTGGAACATGTGCACAATTCATTTTAGATTATTATGATATAATATCAAGGCCAACATTAACTATAACATGCAGAAGACCTACATGTATTTATACCCTGCCGAAGATCGAACTTGTCTTTGTTGGGCCACTTTAGCAGCATCTTCCATAGGAACAACGAAGTCTGGAATGCCGTTCAGCAGAGATCAAGAGCCACTCAGAGGGCAGCAAGCGACGTAGATGTAGGTAAACTATGATGATTTACCTCAGTTGTTGATTGTCATTGCAAGAGTTGCTTCTGGCGTCTATTTTCCCGTTTTCTTATGGGCGTGATGACTTAATGGTCGTTCCCTCTGTGGCAGTTTTCGATTTATTATATAAGTTCGCTATTTATTTCTATTGTAATTATCTACGTTTTCTTACTTTACGATTTCACACGACTTCCTCAATGAGTTATACTGATAAAATAATATATAGTTAACATGTTTTGTTTTTGCGCTTCAGTTTCATCACTGAGCTAGTCACAATACAATTTTGTAAAACCAACCATTGGAAACTCTCATCGCCGGAGGCTGACAACTCATGTGATGATGTGCGGATATTATTATAAGGTCAGCAGCCTTTCTTGTTGCGCCACAGTTGGCAGTCCATAACTGATTGTGATCACCTATTGATATGAATACATCTACTGTTTTCTTCCTTGCTGTCTAGTAGTCATGACCTCGATCTCTCGTGTGCTGAAGACATGATCCCCGACTTCGTCGTCCCAGGAAATTGTCTCTGTTGATGGACGGAGATAATACAACTCTGTCGACGAAACCAGTGCATTCCCCAATCCAATTTGCTATAGTTATAAATGGTTTAACTGTACATATTCACTTAAAGAGTTATATGCTCATGAGTGTTAATTAACGACTTGGCTTATTTATTATGTAATATATACACTAATGTCGAACTAATTTACTATACAACCTTACTAGTAAATATATTTAAGTCTCTCATATAAAAATATACTCAGTGGACTTGTTCCTCACTTGAGCTTTTCAGGTATGCTTTCGGTGTTTTAGGTATACGAAATTGCCCTCTACTAAAAACCCATACCAACTTCCTCAAGCATGAGCGTCTCCGCAACGGTAATAATTTCCTTTTAGGTAAGATGGATTTTCTAATTTAAAGCATATTACATTTACCATTGAGTATAATATTATTCTACATTTGTAATTAATAAGTTATGAGGACACTTGATGATATGTAAATATCGTGTATTTACCTTATTTTAACTTATCTAATATATATTTACTCACTGTACCAACTTACAGATGGAAACAAATGTCATCGCCTCAATAGTCTAAGACCTAAGGCAATCATACAGCGTGACGGGTAACCTCTATGAACGCGCATCAGGCCTCAGGATTCTTCCCTAATGCCTCTTTGAGGACCCTTTAATCCTCTCTCCGTGATCGATCATTCGAGATAAGAGATTGATGTGTCAACTCATAAACTAATACGTGAGTTTTATCTGTTTGGACAAGTTATCTTGAACAAGTCGAATGCTTATTATTCAATGATTTTTCCTGATATTAAACAATAGCTTTTGTATTATATATATTGGCCTTCCCGTTTTCGTAGCTTGATCGCTCCCTAGGTCATCCTCGACACGGATACGTAAGAAACTTCTTAGTTGCAATTACTCCTGCCACGAATATACAACTTCGGATACTATCGACTTCTCCTTCATCTTCTCCGCTGCGCCAAGCCTTTCTGACCAATACCTGAGACGCTGCGAGGCCGCCTTTAAGGAGATCGGCGTCGAGTCTTCTCGTTTCACGAAGACAGTCTCCAGGTTCTAACTGCCCCTATGACAACAGCAGAAATCTTTGAAAGATTACCTTTAATTTTAATAATATATATTAATATAAATACACATACACACACGCATATGTATGTATGCAAGTACAATGGATATAACTTTGACACGATTATCTTTTTATATAAAAAGAAATGTCATTTAATTGCATTTTTCTCTTCCCTTTTGTTTAATGGTAAACTGCTAATAGACACATTTGTCACGTATGAAATCGAAGGCATATTTTTAATTAACGAAGACATTCAGCGAGAAGATAATTATGAATTGGTCTTAATTACAAGGATGCAAAATTCGCTTTTTCGATAGGACTCTGCAAAATGTCTTATTATACGTAAATGTTTTTGATGGGGATTTATTTTCCCATCTGTACTTTTTAATAACATCAAACCTGAACATGAATTCGAGGACGACCAGCATCTGCGAGGGCATGCGGTTCTCCTATGTATAGTAGACATGAATACGCTGATCTGTGTTACATGGATACTCATACTCACACAAATGTATATGTAAATATTTGTTGTGTATGCGTGCATTGCATAGTATAAGATATAGATACATATTATATACGGTATGTATATTGTGAGCGCGCTCGTCAGTGTTGGTGATGCCTTCTACGTACAATACTTTAATATACACATATATATATACATATATATGAGTTACATGTATGTAGTTGTGTACTTCAGCGCATACATACATTACATACATACAATATTATATACTTAATTATATTATAGATATATATATATTTAATATATATATATATATTATATGTGATTGTTGTGTGTAGGTGTTGTGTGGTTCATTATATAGGTTAGTGTATTATTGTTGTTATATAATAATATAGTGGCTATATATGTGTGGTGTCAATATCTATTGATGTGTTGTGTAGTTATGTGTGTATACTATTGTGGTTGTGTGTATATTAAGTCAGATTCATACCTGAAAATAAGCAATGTACTTAATATATTATAACCGTTCAATAAGTTAATCTAGATAGGCTCTAATTTAAAGATACGGTAATAATTTTGTTGATTCTGATTGTGTTTAGTGTAGTATTTAACATCCTTTTTAATGTGCATTATTCACAGATATATAATATAATAATAGATATTACATGTATATATAATATATATATATATATTATATGATATATTATATATTATATATATATATATTATTTATAACATAAATTATATGTTATACTTATATATAAATATTTAATTAATACTACAATATAACTTATATTATATATATTCTAATATAGACATTACAAACTATATACAAATATATATAT